ATTTTTCCTGGGATTCATGCGTCGCCTAGGTTATGGGAGTCCTTTATGGACTGGAGAAGACTGAGCACCTGGTCCACAGGCTGCATTACCTTGCGGAAGCCCGCCTGTATTGTGCTGAGGCTCTCGATACTCTCCAGGTACCAGCAGAGCCTTTGATTAACCATTCTCTCGGCTACTTTCCCCAAACACGATGTCAGGGAAATTGGACAGTAACCGGTCGGTTGATTGAGTTTCTTCCCCATCTTTGGGAATAGGGACGATGGTAGCGCCAAGCCAAGCTCTGGATAGGATTCCTGTTACCCACGATCTGTTAATGTTTGACAATAGCTCTTTCCTAGCTATCGGGCCAAGGTCTTTGATCATTTCGTTACAGATCTTGTCCGGACCTGGTGCCTTGGCGGCGTCGCACTTGTCGATGGCGGTTTGCAATTCAACCATAGTGAAAGGTGCGGTAAAAGACCTCAGCATGCGGCCCCCACAGTTGGGCCACTTCTCCATTTCACCGGAGACGGTTAAGGTTTTGTCTCTCTCTGGACTCTTTCTACTTCCGTGCAGGATAGCGAGTCCACTAATTGCCAGACCTTTTTTCCGTCTTTCAGGTCAAGTTTTCCATATGTCCCAACCCTTTTTTCCTTATTTGCAATGTCAAACTCCTTTCGGACTTCAGCCGTCAGTTTGTTGTAAGCCTCACGAAGCCTCACGAGCAGCAGCCGCCTCCAACTTTCCGGCTTTGGTCCGAGCTCCCTTTCGTTCACGAACCATCTCTGCCAGCCTCTTGTTCGAAAATTATTGTTGATGTTAGTTTTTAACACGCTTTTCAGGCCGATACTCTCCCTCACACACTTTAATACGTCATTTGTAATGATTGTTTAAATGATTGAGAACTCTTTCATACTGCCAACTTCTCAGTATTTACAGTTTGTAATCTCTCGCGTCGAATTGTTAATATTTTATTTTATTTTTTAAAATATTTCTGATATGGACAATTTTGAGACTCAAGTAAAAGTTGAGTGGGTTAACGCCTAACAAAAAATTTCCAGCATGCCCAACCACATCGTAAGCAATGGTTTCAAATCATCTGTAATCTCACACAATGTCAGGTCACCAATGTAATGAAAGATAACATGGCGGATATCAAGTTCAGGGTCACTGAAATAACAAAAAAATTGCACCAATGAAAGAAAGGACAAGGAACTATTTCGGAAGGTTCTAAAACCGTATTACATGAGAATGCTTGTTCTGATTGGGATCGTTCTTAAAACCGTATTACAGGAGAATGCTTGTTCTGATTGGGATCGTTCTTAAAACCGTATTACAGGAGAATGCTTGTTCTGAAAGGTTAAGATTTGTGGAATTTAGTTTTACGTATTACTGGGTAACACATTCAATTCAAAATATTATATAAAATATATGATGTTCAGGCAAAATGATTACGTTTACCGACAAAGTAAACTGTGTTATCTCCAAAGATTTAAGAAAAGATCATATGACAAATCGATCTGATCAAGATTCGTATAAATACAAACGATTTACATAGTTTTACATAAACAAATATTTTACAATAAATTATAAGTTAAACCACAATGAAAGAACGTAACACCAAATGAGCAGGGGGCGGAGTGGAACACATCGCAATATAGGTTCCCCTGGAAAATGACAGATGATGGAACATGACAACAATGTTAATGATTGGAACGGTGTTGCTTGGGATCCTGATATCAATGCATGGGCGCCCGCAGAAAACTTTCTAGTTGGGGAGGCAAAAAATCGATTAACTTTCCAGGGGGGGGGGGGGCAAAAAATGTTCAGTAATGTTTTAATATAGTTTTAATTTACTGTAGCGTATTTTTATGGTGAACGAACGGACCGGACATCAGCTTAGATACTTTCTCTTTATTTTCTCTTTACTTTGATACATTTTTTGTCTATTTTTGTCTAAAATTGTTTTATCCAATCAATCAGGGGGGGGGGGGGCAAGTGTCCCCCTTGCTCCTCCCTGCGGGCGCCCATGTATCATTGGTATATTTTGTATACATACCGGACATCAGCTTAGATACTTTCTCTTTATTTTCTCTTTACTTTGATACATTTTTTGTCTATTTTTGTCTAAAATTGTTTTATCCAATCAATCAGGGGGGGGGGGGCAAGTGTCCCCCTTGCTCCTACCTGCGAGCGCCCATGTATCATTGGTATATATTGTATACATGACAGGAGAGAGAGAACACAACTTTGTGATGCCTCATTACGCTTTTAGTTTGGCAGGATGACAGAGGGTGTACGAGAGATAAGAAGTCTCGCATATAACAGAATCACATATTGCACTGACGTGAACTAATCAAATCTTCAAATCCTCCTTGAATTAAGATAACTTTTGAATTTCCCCTACTCTCTGGAGATCTGCAATGCTGGTGATAGCACAAGTGTTCTTAATCTAGGTTATGGGTTTTAAAATTTTTTTTTTTATATTGGTTAAATTCGAGTTTACCGAGTTAAAAAGGTTATCTGATGTTTACTTCCCACCCAAACATTCCAAACGATTGTTTTGTTTTGTTATAAATTTGGTGATATAATTTCAATCATCCAAGTGTCAAACTGCACCCTGGCAACTGACAGCGTTATCAAATATAACCATTTTTAAAAAATGTACTTGAAGCCATGATACTCTTTTTGTATGCTGAAAGCCCTTTTTAAATTCAAGATTTAAAAAACTAACAATTATGCTTAGTTTATAATCATTATTTATATTTGATTCTGGTTCTTGATTTAAAAATAAAAATAATATTAAATAAAAGTTAATACTTAAAAAATTAGTTTTCATATTTTATTTTCAGCATTTCATACTCGTACATTTTTTTAGTATCAAGAATTGTTAGCTGCGTGAATTAAAGTTAATCTCTTTGCTGAACTTGAAGAGAAGACAAAGCAATGTTTAGTTTCCTTTCAGATTCAACACCGGGTTTGTTTTTTTAAAGATTCAGATTTGGAGAGACTAAATCAAGTTCAGCACATTGAGAATACAGCTGAGCTGGTGCTGCTTGTTAACAACAACAACAACAACAACAAAACAAAAATAAGATGTAAAAATTTTTGTCCAACTGTCAATCCAGACAGACAATGTTTGTTTTTTCTCTTCACCGTAAAAGCACAAGTAACTCATGATGGCATAGTTGAGAAATGAAATTTGAAACGTATTACTATTTGTAAAAAAAAAATACCCAGGTCTAAGCTCTACTCACTTTTAGATAGTAATTGACCTATCATTATTGACAAACAAAACAAATGTATCAAACTTTTTTCCCCTTACACATCATCTTTTAATTTAATCCGATGTCTCTAAAATGTTTAAAACTAGTTTACCGTAAGGTTGTGTTGGGTTGCCAAAAGATATTACATGGTCAGCATCAACAGATAAATGTGAAGTTAAAATTTCAGTCACTGGGTAGTTCGATAATGATTTTAATTTCGTACAACACAAAATATTTTAGAGATAATTTTAAATTATGTTAGTAATCGTCAAGTGTGCTCACTTTTGGGTTTTGATGACCGGTTGCATGGGTGTGTGTGTGTGTGGGTGTGTTTTAGGTTCTAGAACTTATTTTGGATTTCAATCGTTTTAAGGCATTAGTTTATTTGCAAGGATGAGTTAATATCCTAACGCGATTAATGCTGAAAACACCCCTTAAGGCATACCCGGCAGGCAACATACCCTAAAGTTAAGCTTAAATATATTCTACATTTTTTTCTACCTTTACCCAAAATTACCCCAAAACTTACTATATCGTTACCCCAACCCCAAAACTACTATAGGAGACGATGGTGTGGTTTTTACTAGAACTAGCGAGGTCCGCCACCTTGGGTTTTGTAGTAAAGAATAAGTCGGTTCCCAGTCAGTAGATCCTCTCGCTCCACTCCACTGCTGCAACCAAAGGAGCATCAAGTAGAGGTTTCGTCGTAGGATTGCAAGGAAATTTCATTGATCCCTTTTCATGCTGCCTACGGGAATCCATCTCCAAATGCATTATCTCCCTTAGCCATTAAAAAAAGTTTTTACCCGCAATCAGAGTTTCTTCTTTTAGGTGACACGCCATCCAAGTGTGACGAGTCCCATTCACGCGGGCCTCCAGTTTCTTTTTTTTCTAAAATGTCAAGGTAGCAACACATTTGACCACACAACCATTTAGTCACCCGAAACAAACCTTACTCTGTCCTAAGACCACATCTAACTAAATCAACCCTTTTACATAAACGACATTAAGCCCTGTCCTAAAAAAATTAAGTACGGTCTTAGCTGCGATCGAATAACAATGTTTATGTGAAGTATGAACAGAAAACCTTTACCAAACTCTTTTTTTTTTTTAAATTTCAAAACCGTTGTTATAAAATATCCAGACCTTTGCTACAGAGAATTTTTTTAAATAGAAATGAAATGAAATTAAGGTAAAGAAATAATTCAGAGATCCATTATAGTTTCTTCAAATTAAAAACTGAAACAAAAGATAATGTGGCACTTGCTACAACAACGAGGGCGATTTTTAAATATAAATAATCGAAACGAAAGCTGGCGACTAAAAGAGGGGGGGGGGGGATGAAAAACAAACAATAATATTTTTAAATAATTAATTTAAACAAAAAAATAAAGAAGCAAACAAAAAAAAAAATGATTCAAATTTTATTAAAAAATTTCAAATTAAAAACTGAAACAAAAGATAATGTGGCACTTGCTACAACAACGAGGGCGATTTTTAAATATAAATAATCGAAACGAAAGCTGGCGACTAAAAGAGGGGGGGGGGGATGAAAAACAAACTATAATATTTTTAAATAATTAATTTAAACAAGAAAATAAAGAAGCAAACAAAGAAACAAATGCTTCAAATTTTATTAAAAAATCTAACGATCATACCTTTTAAGCGTATGTTAGATTACTCACTGCGGCTGCGCAACTCCAGTTGATAGTAGTCACCTCTCTTTGCTTGCCAACAGGTATAAATATTTGCCCTTGTATTTTTTCGGTTACAGTTAATGTCTCACGGCTGACATGGCTTCCGCTTTCAAACAAGGACGCTTCACAGCATGCATATTTTTGTTTTGGTTAATGACAATAATTTTTTGTACACAAAAAGGTAATTTCTTACTTTATTAAAAAAATATATACTCTTTTGCATATCCAATTCTTTCAATATAATATATTAATGTTTGCAATTTTAATTTTTTTTTTGTTTTTTGCTAAAAAAAAAGATATGGTTATTCAGCTGTATCAATCATATAACTATAAACATATTTTATCTCGCCCACCCCCTCAAAATAAACAAGATTTAATTTTCATTTCAAGGTGTGAAATGTATTATTTTGTATGAGTTAACAGTGATGCACACAAAAGTCCCTGTTGTCAATAATACAACAACTCTCAGGACTGTTAACGATGATACCAAGATTCTACATTGAGTTTTGTGCCACTGTTACTGTTTTTCTTTTCTATTAAACCTCTCTTTTACTGCATGGAATTAATATTTCATTATAAGAATAGCTGTTTCGAAATGGGAATTTCTAAGAGAAAACGCGAACAGCTAAAATAAAATTGTCTGATGAATTCAAATAAACATGACACTCTATGCCATTTCGCATAATTTTCTCTTATATTGTTTTTATTTATAAAATACCGTAATCAATTTAAAAATAGTTACGATGGCCGTATAAGAAAAATGTAGACATTATTTCCACTGTGCTACATCCGTTCTTCTCAGCTGTAATTTATTTTTTACCACAAATATTCTAAAGCAGGAGATTTCAATCTGCAGACGGCAACTAACTCAATAGTTTGTTATAACAATTTATAAGATATGTTAAGAAAGTATTCTTTAATTGATCCATACATACGGGAATTTTTTTTGACGACTTGGTACCTATTCATATTCTGTCCGTTCCCAAGACACACTAAAACGTATGGTGAACGATCTTTCTCTTTCTGCGCCCCCAAACAATGGAATTCTTTGCCACTACACATACGCAATATACCAACCACCCAGGCCTTCAAAACTGCACTAAATACAAGGTTATGTGGTGGGGTTGGTGAATATACATTGCTGCTGTACTTTATTTCATAAATGTATTTTATTTTAATGTCATGATTATGTCTCTTTTGATAAAATTTGTATGTACAGTGCGGTGAGCCCAGCCCTAGGCTGGGGTACCGCGCTATATAAGACCTCTTATTATTATTATTATTATATTTAGAATATTTTAATTTAAAAAACGAAACAAATACATTGAAAGGGTAATTAAAGGGTAAACAAACAAATGTTACCTTTCAAATATATAAATCATTTTTATAACAATGTTATTTTTTTAAAAAGTTAATAATTAAATCTGAATGGATATCTCTTCTATATATCAACAAATGCAGAGAGAAGAATTAAACAGTACAAGCCCATGAAAGTCATAATTTTAAATTGAGTTTGAATATCAATATCTTTTTACAAATGAACAGCATTCAGATTTTCCACAACACTCATTCTTTTTCAGAAGCTGAAGCGTCAGATCCCATCTTGAAGTATGACTGTAGAAAGCCTGGGGAAATCTGTGTATCTTCACAAAACTGTAATCTAACGACTGGATCTTGCGGCTGTCAGCAGAACACAAATAACACGCACTATGATTATTCATGTCAAAGTTACAGTAAGTAAAACATAACTTATTCAAAATATCTGGCTTAAAATTAACTTGTTTCGGATACAATTTTTTTTCTTTCTCCTTCTTTCTTAATTACAAACAACATATATTTTTTGTTAAATGTTTATTGAGAACTTTGTTTCTGTTTTTCAGGTATAAATGCATTAGCCAATTGTTTGGCCTTTGATAATTGCAGTGGACATGGTTTCTGCAATGCTACAAATAATTGCGTTTGTGATGAAGGATACTACGGGGGAAAATGTAGCATGCCAAGAGGTAAATAATTTCAACCAAGCGTCTTTTCTATTGACAGTTGTGTCCGTCCCGTGTTAGAAATCTAATGTTATAAGCCCACATTTTAAAAATTTCAGTATTTTCAAAACGCGAAGTGTCAAATTGGGTGTTGTCTTGACTACAAAGCATTAAGTAGAAACAACGACATTTTTTTTCTCCAACGTAATGTTTACAGTTTAATTGTTATTGGAATGGACCTAATTTAATAATACACACATTCTTGTATGGCGAAACTGCTGTCATTGAATTTAGTACACAATGATCTGTACAATTGTAGCATTGATTTGAATAACTGATCAAAATATTACTGAATCTTTTCTATCTTATTTATGTAGTTATAAGATGAGATAATTTTTTTTTTCTCCAACGTAATTTTTACAGTTTAATTGTTTTTGGAACGGACCTAATTTAATAAAACACACATTCTTGTATGGCGAAACTGCTTTCATTGAATTAAATAAAAAAAAAAAAAAAAAAAAGAAATAGAATCTCTGAAAGATCTGTGAAGCATATTTTCTGTAATTAATATATTTTAAAAAAATATATTTTTCTTTAGACGCCGATTAACGTCATTATTACGCTAAAATTTCAAACACTCGGGAGTTCGATAGCGTTTTTTATTTCGTTCAAACACGAAATACAATTTCACTTTTTATTTAAATGAAAATGCCGAAGATTGAAAATTAAAGGTGGATGATTGATTTAATACTTATATAAATTGGTATATACTATTCGCAGCAAGAATAAATCGATTGTTTATCTCTTACAATAAAAAGTAATATTTATTACAAAATTGTTCATTCCCATATTTAGTTCTCTAGCTTTCGGAAACCAACGATATAAGTAAGAAAATTAGACATGCACACGCCAACCCATAACAAGGTAAAGCCGTAGTGATATGTCTGGCTTGCATTCAGTACGAAAATGCACCTATCTTCTTAAACAATCTGTGAACTGGCATATTGCTGATTTTCAGTTTGTTGAAAGGGAGAACACAGACATGATTCTCATTATATGCAACGTACGGGTCGATCAGAGTTCCACTTCCGTTGACACAAAACACCTCCGTAACGGAGAAATTTCGCAACAGTAGTCAAAATAACTGCGTAACTGGGAGCAGTCTTATGAAATCTCTCTTTGCCATTGTTCTCTTGCCATTGTTCTCTTGCCATTGTTCTCTTGCCATTGTTCTCTTGCCATTGTTCTCTTGCCATTGTTCTCTTGCCATTGTTCTCTTGCCATTGTTCTCTTGCCATTGTTCTCTTGCCATTGTTCTCTTGCCATTGTTCTCTTGCCATTGTTCTCTTGCCATTGTTCTCTTGCCATTGTTCTCTTGCCATTGTTCTCTTGCCATTGTTCTCTTGCCATTGTTCTCTTGCCATTGTTCTCTTGCCATTGTTCTCTTGCCATTGTTCTCTTGCCATTGTTCTCTTGCCATTGTTCTCTTGCCATTGTTCTCTTGCCATTGTTCTCTTGCCATTGTTCTCTTGCCATTGTTCTCTTGCCATTGTTCTCTTGCCATTGTTCTCTTGCCATTGTTCTCTTGCCATTGTTCTCTTGCCATTGTTCTCTTGCCATTGTTCTCTTGCCATNCCCCCCCCCCCTTTTTTTTTTTTCAAAAATCAATGAATGCCTAAAGTTCGAGTGAAAATATTGGTCGAATATGAATTTATTCCTCCGTTGACAGCCCATTTGTAACAATATAGGCACAACTTATGATATTCTCTCACTTACAACATTAATCTTATCTCACTTCTTGGAAAACGTGGCAGTTGGAGCTATTCACCCTTGACTAACGCATCTACATGTTTACGATGTGTCTGTGTCAGTTCAGTTATTTTTGGCTCAAACTTTACTTGAGATGTTCCACACTCTTTGAAGTATTTAGAAAGCTAATTAAACGAGTCCTTTTTTAATTTAGTCTCAAAATCATTATCATTGATTTATGTTCATAAATGAAACGTTTATTTTATATATATAAACTATATTCTGGACTAAATTAATGTTAACGCTAGTTTTACATGTCAAACATACTTAGACAATAAGGAAGGGTGATAGGAATGTTTACCCTTCGTGAGATTTAATTGATATTTGTTATAGGTATAATTTTTTAAAGCGTTCCATTTAACACACACTTTTTTTTACCTATGTTCGCCGAGTAAGCTGAATCCCCCTAGTATGTATATTTTGATCTGTGTAAAACAATTAGACCTTATGATAGATTAAATTACAAATTCCATAGTTGCAGTGCTTCTCAGTCCTTTATGCCATAATTTAAAATAAAAATCATATTAAGTTATGTAGAATTGTGAAATATGTTTACTGTTATTATCGTGGATAAATAAATTCCCGTTGCGTTTTTTATCACTTTTTAAAATTATGACCAAATATTTTAATTTTATCTACCGGATGCAAAATTTCCTCAAACAAAAGTGCCACTTGCAAGTTCCCACTCGCAATTTCGTAAATTATTCTAGTACTAGCTACTCAAATTTGATATTTGAATAATAAATGCAAGATGAGGCTCTAAAATTATTGTATATTTGTTAAAATTTGAGATGCTAAAGTATAACATTCTTTGAAGCTACTGCGGGGCAATTGTTCATTTTTTTCACTGCGAATCCATTACTATCAATTAATAAAACAAGGTAAAGCAATAAATTATTTCTCTTATAAATTTGATTTTTATAATGTAGCGGAAGAATATTTATTGTTCATACAGTTTTGTTTTGTTATGTTGTCAGTTCAAGTTGCGTGTAACCTCACACATATGTTCATCAACGTAAACCCCTATGGCAGTGGCGGAATGTTTGTATATGTCTCGGGGCATCAAGAAGCACCCTGTGTGTTACAGGATAAAGTAAGTATGGTCTTGTACTGCAGCCCCCCCCCCCCGAACTGGTCAAGTGACCCCCCCCCCAGCTAAAAGTGTACATCAATTAAATAAATCATAATTTTATTAACAAAATACTACATTTTCATTTTTTAAAAGTTTTAAAAATAATAGTATGTGAATCTTTAAAGCGAATACAATTAGTGAAGTCAGCGAAATATCGCTGCGCTCAATATATTTGACGATTCATATATTTAAGGCTAAACTTCTTAGAATTTTACACTACTTAAATTATAAATATCGTACTGGGGACTCTCAATTATAGGCATAAGTCTTAATTCCCGTTGTTGGCACATATAGGTATTTTTATTGATTTAATTTTTGCTACTTCACAAGTGTTTAATTGCCTGGTATTAAACAAACTTTACATCAATATAAAGCACAAACCTTTTTAATAAAAGTTCTAACTAAGTATCAAACATGTGCAATCTAGATTCAAATTATATTTCATCATAAAATCATGACTTTTAAAGTACGGATAGGTGTTACTCATAAACTGAATGATTGCATTAGGACTTTAAAAAATATTGTTATTAGCATAACTTTAATTGTTATCGATATATTGTATGTCGAGTGAGATAAAAAAACTTTTGAAATAAATGATATATACATACATATATATATATATATATATATATATATATATATATATACACACACACACATATATATATATATATAAATCGAGAATTTACCATGTACATAGAAATGATACAATATATATCAACATTTTATCTAAACAGTTTGTGTTTTCTTTATATATTATAAATTTAATTGTTATAGATATATTGTATGTCGAGTGAGATAAAAAAACTTTTAAAAAAAATGATATATACATACATATATATATATATATATATATATATATATATATATATACACACACACACATATATATATACATATAAATCGAGAATTTACCAGGTGCATAGAAATGATGCAGGTTATATCAACATTTTATCTAAACAGTTTGTGTTTTCTTTACATATGCTAATGTGTAAAAAGGTTTCCTGAATAACAGAGTTTTAAAAAAAAAATTGCCTGTATTTATTTAATTCCCAACTGATTTAGATCTAGTCTTTTCAATTTCCGAATAATAAATAATTTGCACGGATTAAAAAAAAATAATATTTTTCCTAGATGAGAATCTAGAAGAAAGCTAAAAAATAAACACAATTTTTGTGAACTAGCATTTCGAATATCATGCAAATTCTTTTTTCTTTTATGGTTGGGGGCAATAGTTTTAGAAAAATATACTTACTCCTATTTTGACAATTTAAATAAATTCTGTGGATTTGGTAAAAATGTTTTAAAGTTTATCTAAGATAAACAAAGACCTATCTAAGATCTCTGTTTCTGTACCCCCTTCCTCTCTCGCTTATAAATGTTTCAATATGAATTTGAATAAACGCTTTAGCCAAATGATTAATTTGGGACACGCCACATCCGTGATGAATTCGGTTTATGTATGGCATTTGGAGACATATCTTTCCCCCGATCAAAAAGTATCCTGCAAAATGCACCTTTTGATTTTGAAATATCAAAATAATAATAATAATAATAATTCTATAACATAAATAAACAACCTATCTGTCTGGTCTCCAAGCATTTCAATAGCACTAACCATGATGGAATTTTAGACATCTCAGTTACTTGTATACTGTATACTGGTAACACACCGGAAAGGATTGATATGGAGAATAAATCAATTACAAGATTTGGTACGTTGACTCCATACGGGATAAACCAAATCCACAATTTTACGTAGCTGCCATGTCTTTTTCCTGTTTGGTTTTTACATTTTAATTCAAATCACTCACTTTTCATTCTTCTTTACTTTGTTCCCGTCTGGTTTTTTCGCCCACTCATATTTTTTCTCCTTTTTTAGGCAGGATAAATGATATATATATATTATGTAAATTTAATTTATACTTATTTAAATGTTTTGTTGTTGTACTGATGGAGGCATGCGCCGAAACGTTTACTTGTGTATTATGTAAAATTATTTTTAAAGTCTAACGTATATTGTTATATTGACACAAATTGTCCTTGTTTAATTAATCTACTTTAAAGCTTTACGGCAGTCAAAAACTCTTATAATTCTGGGAAGAAGACTCAACAGACCCCCATCGCTCAAGATTCATCGGCGTCCTCGATTTCTACCATACTTCCCGATGAAAACGATCGCTAACTTTGGTGACGATAGATACACTGCCTAGGGGCGTAGCTTGTATTACTTCCACCATGGGCAGTAAAAGATTTTTTTTTTCCGTTTTCCCTTTCACGATAAAACTCTGCAGTTGTCAAAAAACAAAAAAAAAAGAGGTTGCACTTGGGTGGCCCATCCGAACCCTTTCTATGTCACCGGCAGGGTGGGCTAGAGTGTTTCGCGTTAGGGGACAAGATTCTTAAACTAAACCGAAATTTAACTTTTCTGTTTCGGCCGAAGCCGAAACTAGGCCGAAAGCGATCAAATGGTAACTTTTGGCACCGAAACCGAAGCCGAAATTAGGTCGGTCACTAGTCTGAAAACACTCTTATGCAACCTATTTTTCTAGGTGCTGACCACTCTCTGATTTACAGAGTGGTGAATATCAGATATTTCTCTAAGCACACAACATACTCCTGTATAGTGCCATTGAATCATCTAGAAACACTAGAGTTTTTTTTAAACTTTATATAATGAGAAATAAAGTTATTTTCCAGCAATTTTGAATTGTTTCCGTATCACCAAACTCATACATGTAGTTATGTCATTCAACATTTTCAGGTCCCAGCTGATTTGAGAAATTTTGGATTGGCAGGGGATGTAAAAGGATGGAACTTGGTGATTTCTCACAATGGCAGCACTTGTGGAGGCGCCATTGTAAAACATTCCAGAAATCAGGTATTTAAAAAACAAAAACAACGACTGACGTATATTTTATTTTGGAACCTAAATTAAACTTATTTATAAATTCTGTCTGCTAACACATTGTAGTGGGAAAAGCCCTTTTATATTCAATATTTAAATTTAAGTCTGTTTGGCGTTGACATTAAGAGCAAGACAAACTAATATTAAAAACAATTTTCTTCTCAAGTGGCTAGGAAATGTTTCGAAAAACTGAATTCTCTTGTTTCCTTAATATTTATATGACTTTGAGTGTGTTATTAATAATTATAACATGTTTTTCTTTTATGAAATTTAAAGCCAGGTACAAAAATTTATAAGCGGACCTTCCAAATGCAATACTTACAAGAAATCAAAACATTGGAAGATAAGGTCATCGAAGCAGAGTGTAAAATATCGGGAAACGAAGAAGTCATTTCTTTTGGAAATTATACAGTCAATGATATTAGCAAAGAGTAAGAATGTTAAAAAAAATATTTTCTTAGAATACCCTTTCCTAAGTAGCACTTGTCCAGAAAAATTCCAGTTAATGAATGAAATGTATTTATGTCACATATATTAATTTTTAATTTTTTTTTTCAATCAATAATTCTTCCTTAATCTGTAATTGATATGATTTGTAAATTGTGTTTTTAAAAACAGTAGTTAGTTATTTATTTCTAGGACCTTTTTCTGATAAAGCTTTTTATATTTTATACTAAAAAACAACAACAACAAAAAAGCAAGATGTACAGCAAAGAGGTTTACGTTGAAAACTAGACAAAAGAAGAGAAAAAATGTTTTGTGCAGAAAAGTCTCTCGTAAAAAAAATGGGAAAACCGGATTTAAAAAAGTAAAAAACTGAACAAAAATGCATGAACAAATGCGTTCTTTTATAAATTTCCATTGAAAAAAACAACAACAATCAATTTGAATTTAATTACTTAATTGACGAATATTAATTATAAAATAGACAATTCAAGAAATATGTGTTACAATTGCATTACAACGTTTATAATAGATTAAAGTAGATTTTTTATTGAATAATATTTTTTAAAATAATTTTAGCAATGGGCTCAATGTATCCTTTGCTATTACTGCTAATGTCACTTTGGCTGTTCAACATAATGGAACGGATGTGTCTTCGTCTTCTATCAATTTGGGAGATGAGCTGGATCTGATTTTTACAATGAGCAGCGTTAACAATGGTGAGCATTTTTAAATCCTTTATAATTAACGTCGCTTTCGTTCTTGGCTAGCTGGCAAAATCTTCTAACGGCTAAATGATCCACATCCCGTCACCATATCGAGCTAAAACTTGGCATATAGACTCAAGGGCTTTGACAACAGATCGTTTCAAATTTTCAGCCCCAGCACAAATCAGTTTTTCAAGGAGACCATGGAAAAATTAATTGGGATTATTATAAATTGCGTTACTTGTAGGCATGTTTTGTCAAATTTTCAGCCCCATCCATTATTAGTTGATATTATATTTTATAAAGGATTTATACGAAAAAGTATGTTTTCAGGGGTTGTCTCATAACCCTCTTTTAATACGATATGAAGATTTGAGGCATCGTATCGATTCTCATCCCCGATTCAGTATTTTCAAAGTTAAAAAACTAAATTTCACCTATAACAACGCGCAGTACTAATGATGTTAATTTGTTGTTAACGAACAGTTTGATTCGCTTTCATCTTTCTAGCAATGATTCATTGAAATGTTGAGAGTATAAAGCCACCGGTCGTGCTCTCATCCAGTACTATCAAAATTTTAATACGAATTTAAACACCGTAGTATCCCAGGTAGTCTCATCTGATACTCATTCTCCAACCAAAATAATATTTTCAGATAAACTCTCTTTGAGAATTCTGGAGACCGATCTTTTAAACATCTTTGACGATAACTGTTCTGTAGCGTTACACTTGCTACAATATCGCTTACTTGAACGATGTAAATCACCAGTCACTGACCATCAGTAAAGGACCATTAAAACTTCCTCTACAATACTCTACAAAAGTTAAAACAACTTTAGTTTAAAACATTGCGTGTTTAGAATAAAAATTTTGAGAGGTTAACCATCATATTAATACTTAATGGTCATAAAAAATATGGAACTGTTACGAGGGCTTTGTTTCGATCGACAATTTATTAGTGTTGTAATTTACATAATCTAATCTTTAAAATGTTAAATATATTTAAATTTAATTTTTGTTACTTGATCCAAGAGATGTGTCTCATTGATTTGTTTTTAAATTCTAAGCTACATTTTTTCCACAGTGTACAATGATTTTATGATCAAAGAATGCACTGCGAATGATGTAGACAATTCATCGACATCAGTTCGACTTATATACAATCTGTAAGTTTTAGCTTAATTATTTTTCAGTTATGCGAAAACATTTAATAATATTTTTTTTCTTTGATTTTAGAAAATTGTTTAATTTAACTCTTATCTATATATTTTTTTTCTTCAGAAGAATAATTTGAACAAGCTTTTAAAAAACATGACCAGTTAATGACATAAATTGATGCTGTTCATTATTAAAAGGGAGCAGACATTTTAAACTAACGCAGTGAGCATATGTAGATAAATTCGTTTTGATACTATGCAGTATTTATATCAAATACCAGGAACATTTTAAAGTTCCAATTTCAATTTCCACTATTACATAATAGTTTTCACTTTGGGTGGGTGCAACCTGCTGCCGTCTAATTCTTCACGTGCGCTCATTTCACAGAAACAAAAATGTTACAGAACAACTCCATCTATGCCATTATGCTGAGACTGGATGTTCAAAATCTTTCAAATAAAAAGCAGACAACTCAACCATTTAAAAAATGGTTAACGTTAAACTTACACACATTTTTTTAAAACATTTACTTCCACCCATCATCCAAATGATGCATACATATTGGAATGAATAAGGAATTAAGTTTCTTAACCGAGGCTTAATTTGAGTACGGACAAATGAATGCGTCTTTCCAGCATGTTGTTCCCCACGTTGTTGACAAAAAATGCGTTGTATACTCTTTTTATTATGTCGCTCTGTCCGTTTTTGTGGAAACTTGCATTACACATTTGACCTACTTCCTTAAGTTTAATTGAGCTGACACTTTGTACGCTTACTCACTCTCGATGACAATAAAACTTTTCATGATCATTAGGCCACCAGTGACCTCCTCTTACCATTGACTGACCTCCGCGGATATCTCAGGGACGGAACGTGAAAGGGACTCCGGGTTTTCACTACAGCGTTTCCTTAAAAATGATTACTCTTTCCCGATAACAATTAACAAAGACAACATTTTTTACCACAGAAAGGTCACCGTCACCACTGACATTTTACATGTTTGTGTTTCATGCTTGCCCCTTGCTTTTTTTATTCAAATGACGTTAACAACTTGGAAGCTTAGTAGACATTTATTTTTTACTGTTTAGTACATTTTTTGGAAAAGCGCGTTTTTAATGTATGTTTTTATATTATTTTAATGTATTCTTTGATTTTGGCATAATATGTAGTGGACAGTGTATATAGTTTATATAATGTGTATACTTTAATTGTGGATGAGTTGAATTTTTTTTTTAAATTATTTATTACAGGTGCCCAAATCTTACTCTCAGTTCGTTGTTCATGATTCCTCCACCACCACAGGGTCTAAAATCCAACCACACCAAGAACTCTTCCCCATCGAATCCGGCCGTAACGCTGAAATTAAAGGCTTTCATGTTTACTGAACACGGTCAATCTGCTCGAATATCTTTTACCTGTACTGTTACATTCTGCAATGAGGAATGTACGGTAAATGAACCACTAATTGTATTGCAATTCGTTGTTATTTAAATACAAATGGGCTGCCATTTAAAATCTGTATCGTATAAATATTTATGAATTGTATTTAATTTTATCATGTTTAAATATTTCTTCTTTTATTGTCCTGTCTTTCTATTTCAAGGGTCCACAAAGTTGTTTTTCTATATTTTTCTTTTAAAAAAAAAATCACTTGAAAAGAGCCGGTACCTTATTTAACTTATAATCAACACAAAGATTAAAAAAAAAGTAAATATTACTATGTACAAGACGACAACTAACTATTCTTCAACAACATTTTCCTATTTCGTTTCAGCAAACGTGTTCAGGTAAGTGAAGGTATTGTAGATTGTAGAAAGCAACATCGTTCATGTAATGAAATGATACAACTACTTACAAATAATGCTGTAAATCTTTTTTTACAAGCACAAACACACATACTTGAAACATCTTTCATGAATTTTTATTTAAAAATTTGATTTTATAAAATTAAAAAAAATTATAATAATTAATGAGCAAATTGTCTAAACGTTTATTGTTTGCGAACACAAAAGTAACCTAATTCCTAAATCTCAGAAGCTTGTAATAAAATATAAGTCATCTTTTATAATTAACAACACATTTTAGATGTCACACAGTCGGCTAACACCGCTGGAAGAAAAAGGAGATCAGCAGATAACGAAGCCAAGGTTTCTGCTGTGGTCACTGTGGTGGATCCTTTTGCTAATGTTAAAGGTAATGAAAAAACTGAATATTCATTGTAACAAGAAACAATAGTGTGATTCCGATTCCTACTCTTTGCCTGACGACACCCAACTGTTACGGAACTAAATGATGCGTGCTACGAACAATTTCCATTACTATAAAATTGTACTTATTTCAATTGCGTCGTCTCTAATACATTTAAAGAATCTGAGATGGCTAAATAACAAACTAAAAAATATTTTTAATATGCTTTTGTATAAAACAAAACAAAAAAACTGCTTGAACTTGTTAAGGTGTTGTCAAAGATTATTGAAAAACATAAGTAAACACTTGGGCCCATTAGTAAACAAGTGCCCCACAATAGTTTGGGGGTAATTATTTTCTATGTATAACATTGTAGAGTTCTAGAGCACTTGTTTTCACGTCTTTGCGTTTAAATTGTTTTTTCTTTGTTAATATAGCTCAAATTAATTTGTTGACATTTAAAGTAGGTTTATAGACAATTACATAATATTTTTTTTTCAAATATTACAATATCACCGATGCACTAAGCAATGATAGTCTACAGCATGCACAAGATTGTAGAACGCTAGCCGAATAGACCATCTCCACTACAAACAGATTCAGTGGCAAATTATATTTTGAAGTGAACTGAACTGGGTATCAATAAAGTTGGTACTGTTATGATCTTGTTCGTGGGCGTGGCTCAAATGCAGTGTGTCTTTCAGAAATTCCCCCCCCCCCCGGGAGCGCTCTTCAGGTTTTCGGGGTCAGTTCAAGCAGTTCAAGTTGATTTATTGTTGGACATATTTTTGCTCCGGGAGGGGGGCACTTGGCTTTCCCGGGGGGGGGGAGGGGCCACCCCCCGGAGATATAGCTGAAAGTAACCCTGCTGAAATGTCGAGACCATGGGGACGAATGTAGAGTCCAAAGAGAGTTTATAGTTTTAGTCAAGCTAGTGTGTTTAGTGTAGTGCTAGTAGTCTTCGTTTTGGTAGTTCATTGCTGAGACCTCTATTTTTGGGCGGATTCTCATAGCGCTTGTACTGGAGTTCATGTTAGAATGTTTATCAGCTGCAATAAATATAATGTTCATCATAGTTGATTGGGTTACATTGTCAACATGTAATATCTCTACAAAGTAGGTAAAAGAGTTTCAATATTCTACCCTAGTTCGTCAATAGCCTTAACTGCTCGAAATCATGTGAGGGCGTCCGTAACTGTTGTAAATGTATGTTTTGGGTGGTTCTGATAATCTCTTTATTCTTTCATTCCTCCAGAGTTGAAGAACACAAATCAGATGGAGCAGTGCCTGCAGGAGCCGAGTTTCATCGCAACGTTGGCGACGTGTGGGGCGGTCATTTTTATTCTACTTATAATATGCATCATACTCGCAACAAAGCTGATGACGCTCAGGCAGAAGAGAGTGAATGAGCCAACGGGTTGTACAGGACCAGCATTTGAATTGAGAATTCCACGTCTGTCTGTTTCCAACTCGAAGGAACATTTCTATCATCATGATTGAACATTTCACGCTTTATTGCATAGTATTGTATCTTAAACAACGCTTGATATTTTAAGCAGATAATCGGGTATATAGCGTATCTTTGCACGAGACAGAGGGGAATTAGAAAAAAAATATGAATCTATAAAATCAAACTCGCATAAGTCATCAGTGATTTTAATTATATATTTATAAAAAAAACTTACAGATTAGCAACACACATTTAATGATGAAAAATATAAATGTCTTAACATCATTCATTTTTTTCGCATGTCACGTTATTATACAATTACAAACGCAACAAGATATTTCAGTTATATATATATATATAAACAACTTCAGTTAAAGCCTTTTAGGGTTATCGATACCTTTTTTGTTTAACTGACATTAAATCTGTGTAATAATTTGTGCATAAATAAACAGAGAGGAAATTCTTTTAAATATATAATTATCTCTCTTTAATCTTTCAATGAAGCTACCCTTCACGTTACATATTACACATACATGTCGTGAACGAGACTGCTACAAAATTATGTGATTGTTAAACATGGATGGATTAATCACGATGTTTTCTTCGACACAGTTAACTTACAAATTACGATGGTTTTACCCGTAGCACATTCGGGAATGGTCATGTGATAATATTGGAGCGATCTTCAATTTCGTGTCAAGCCTTCGTAGAGTTCATATAAATTATAGAATGACTTTATGAACAGTAAAACATTTGTTCATTTATTAAAGCGCCTATGAAAACACATGTCTTAAAAACCAACGTAAAAATGGGATATACACGTAAATTATTAAAAACCCTTAAAATACGACCACTGTTCAATGCCCTATAATTCAAGACCCCTATAGAATGATAATACCACTTACTAAACCCTTTAATTTAGTCCTGCCTAGAACAACCGCTAACGACGCTGAGCTCAAGCTCTGTGGACGTACCCGAGGAAAATCTTGCAGATATTTCATGCAAATCACATAAACTAACTTCTCAAAGGCCCTAGGTAATATTGGAGATGCTCTATCAGTCTAAGCCATCGTTTGATGTCGTTCTAAAATGTAGGTACATTGTTAACATTTTTATGACTAAAAATTTACCATAAATTACTCCTAAACTATTGTTAAACCATCCGTATCCCTACCATGATTTTTCCTCTTTTCTAACTTGAAGGTAACCCTAAATATACACGACAACAGAACGTAAAATTTCCTATAAACATACTTAAATCTAAACCTAAAAGTTCATAACTCAATTAACACTGAAACTGTCTTAACTGCCTCTAAAAATATCTCTAACAGGACCCAAAACTTAGCCTAAGTTAGGCCTAAAACTACACTGAAACCATGAATATAACGGCCCCATCATTTTTTTGTATTAATAAGTCGTGTTGGTTAAAACAAAGAAAAGGGGAAATTGGATGACGATTTAAAAAAAACAAACAAAAAAACAATCGAACTAAGACTCATCTTTCACTTTTAACTTCCCTTTTTTTCGTGTGTCTCTGTGTTTAAGGCAAAGTCATCGGACGGCTAATTAACCTAATTCCCGTCATCCTATCAAATTGCATATTGGAACATAGACTCGTTGCCAATGGCAGCACTTTCTGTAAAATGTTGACCCATCTACTCCCCCAATGAGTTTTTTTTTCCTTTTTCTTAAGGGGAAGATGAATGAAATATAATTGGCTCAATGGTTGCGTGTTTTGGTGTGGAGATTAATTGTGTAGCTTTTGCTATGTCTTTTGTATTTGTTACGTATTTGGGTATGCAGCATTTTTGAAGTGTAGAAAAGTTCCTCCAAAAATTAAGGCCCAAAAATTAGCAGCACTGTAAAGGTTTTATGGACGATAATAAACAACATTTTAATTCAGATTCGACCGATCATTTCGACATGGAGACCGTTTATTTCTGTAAAAATATTTCTCTCTTAGGTCAGGGTCTTCAACCGCCTTGAAGCTGTCCCCGGAATTAACGACAACCTGTCTCTATTGCAGTTTGACGTTAGATATAAACCTGGGGTACAAGACTTTAAATAAGTTAAAGAGTTGTCCGTCGACTATTATGTGGAGGACAAAGCTAGGTGCATTATTTGGGGTTAAAGATATGATTACATTTACCTCAAAATGGTTCTGAGGAGATTTTATGAAATCAGTAATGATGAAAATATATTAACCGCATTATAAGACGAGGCGTCTACAATAGAAATTGGACGTTGCTTTTAGGGACAAGTTGCACTCGCGGCTTCATGCAGATATAGTTATAGTTATTTTCCAAAAATACTACGGTTCGAACCTAACCGGGGGGATTCTTTCGGGTTCAAAGGATGAATCTCTCTGAAGGGAAGGCGCATTCTTATAGAAAGCTACCCCCCACCTTATTTTTTTTCATCGTGTATGAAAGAATAGAAATTCAGAGTTTTAGCAACAAACCTTTGTGGAAGTTGTGCATATAAAGAGATAAAGTCTATAGTAAGATGGTCATCTTTATTCAAGGGCCTCGATACATTGCGCGCCGCTCTGCAAACCAAATTTCGACAGGAATGCTGGCACTAAAATTAACTATACAATCTTCGCATTGTCCACCGAAGTTGTTTAAGCCATGCTACAACTTAACAAGTCAGGGTTGATAAAATGTCAAATTGTATTAGTTGCCTTAACCTTCGTGACGATGAGAGGGTTTTGATCATTGACCTGGGTTTTATGTGACCCGAAACACTTGAATGTAGTCTTTTAAAATGGTGACACCAGAAGGACAACACTTCAAGTTGCATTAAATGTTGCGTATGCGTATAGTTATAGTTAAGCTCGTGTGACAAGGTCCGATGTCTATCACATTGAAGGACTACCCCACCCCACCGCCTAAAATTCAATGCACCTCTCCTAATGCGTGCTGAGAGTACTCGGAACTTCATCACATTGTTTATCGCTAAGTAGTTACAGTTTCATTTTCCCGTACTTCTTCAGTTGAACATTTGGCCTAATATGATATCACTATCAGAAGCAGGGGAAAGTTGAGTGTGTGGGTAACTATCGGAAGTGGGAAGGATGTCAGACAATATCCGATTCGGATGTAGGGGGGAAGTCAAACACGCTTCAATCGCACCAAAACAAATGTCACCAAACTCATGGAAGATAAAACGTGTGATAAAGACGGCCTTGACAAACTGATCTGGTAACAGTTTTTGGATATTGCTTGTGTAATCTGTGGTATCAGGAAAAAAAAAAGAATTAAGATATTTTTGAGGCTTAAAATAAACTTAGCAATAAGCTTTCTTAACAAAATATATTCAGAAAACTTCAAAAATAATATGCCAATCATGGTCAAACTCAATAATCAGTGCGATTAATTAATAAATGATAAAAAAAAATATTTATATTATATCAGTTGCAAAGTTAAGGGGTGCGAACCGCACCGTGTGACACCAAATTGAAAAATTATATATTTTTAGAGAACACATTGCTCTGTCTAACCGAATTTTATGAAAGGATCACACGTAAATTTCCACACGTTTTACCAAACCATTTGAGTGCTTTAATAAAATTGCAATGTTGATGAGTCAGAAATGAAGTGAACCTATAATTAAGTCACTAAAAAAAACCTTTTCGACCCTGATTCTACGGTGATTGAAGTGTTCCGTAGCTTTTTTAAGTGACAGGATCTATATATATATATATATATATATCTCCAAATTCTGAGAAAGAAAGCTGTCCACTGATATCAAATACGATGTGATCAGATCATCAAAGATCTAGGAAGTAGCATGTTTGTTTGTGGGTATTCAACCCAAGCATCTACCATCAGCAAGTAAAGAAGAGTTATTGGTGTAACCTCGTTCTTTGATGATTAATTATCAAAATATGAACTTTTGAAAGAAATACCAAGGCTTAGAACACACCTAAAGGTGGCTGATTTTGAATTTCACAACTTTATGTCCTAGTCAGTCTTTGATGTTTTGAAATTCATAGCTGAATGGGACTTCCTAGAATCTATTTCAATACTCCTGCTAAGACTTCCATTGTTTCTTACGATGTGTGTTTCTGTGGCTTCATGTGAGCGGAGCTTTTCAACACTAAGGCTTATCAAGGACTATTTAGAATCCACCATAGGACAGTCAAGGATTTCTCATCTTAGTCTATTTTAAATTGAAAGTGATAAGATAACGGTTATTGATTATGATCAAAGGATTGACAGGTTTGAAAATTTGAAGAGCAGAAATGGAATAATTTTAAAGAAATTAAATTAAATGTAAAAAAATCTATAACTTAACGTTTTTATAGTTGTTAAATACATTTATCTCCTGATCTTTAATAAATCTGTTTCTGTTCTTGTCATTGTTAAAATGTGGACTTATTTCAACAAGAAGAAATCCATCGTGGAAGTCGGCGGAAGGGGGGTGACACCATGAGCTTACGGCAACGGGTGACACCAACCCTAGCTACGCCACTGTATCATATGATTTCTTATATTTATTTCTGACTAATTCTTACTTGACATTGAAACGTTTCATAGAAACCTAATCAGATACATGGGGGAGTTCATAGAAATCCAAGCTGTTTTTTTTTTTTTTTTAGGGTTACAGAACAGTGAAAGTTGATTTGAAAAAAATAAGTTACAAAAAAAGTTACCATAATTTTTTTTAAACAACTATTTTTTTTTTTTTTTTTTTGTGTTAAAAAAAAAGGAAAATTAAAATAAAAAAAAAAAAGTAAAAAAAAAGGTGGGGTGATTTTTTTTAAAAAACCCCCCCCCCCCCCCCCCGCGCATGCCTAGACATTTAACGAACCTTGAACAAACCACTTTGGACCGAACAAGGGCAACTCAACAGAGTGACAGTGACACGAAGTCTCCCCACTCCCTCTTTCTATGTCATGATTGGATAGAGAAATTTTGACGATAAAATGCAAGACCAATTACCCCTTACACCGTATTTTCGTGCTGGCATTGAACTATTCTAGGATTAATTTTATCTTATCTCTGAGACTCACTCTCTAGAACCGCTCCTTATCACAAAGTGATCTTACAGCTGGTAAAACAACGGCTGGACGATTCACTGTGTTGGAATACTTCGCTGCAAACGAGACAGCGAAAAATGTCTTTGTTGGTGACGATTTAACACAGCCGTTTACTAATGCTTTCGTGGGGATACAATAACAACCCCAAAATAATCATCTAGCAATCGAGGATTTTGTTTTCGTCCCAACATTTTATGTTTTTTTTTAAAACTCGCAACTGACTTAGATAATTCAAATGCAACTATTAGAAGATTGATATAAATGATTAGTTACATTAACTTTGTATTCATTGCCTTATAACAAACAAATCAGACCCTTTAAATCAGTGGTTCTCTCGAACGACCCTTACACAGGGGTCGACTAAGACCATTGGTAAACACATATTTATGAAGTAACAACGAAAATAATTTTATGGTTGGGGTTCACCACAACATGAGGAACTGCACCATAGGGTCACGGTATTAGGAAGGTTGAGAAGCACTGCTTTAAATGAACCCCCCAAAAATGGAAAAGTCGAATTTTTCGGAGTTATATTTTGAAAAACATCCGAATGACTTTACTTTGATGCCACCATTTTATTTACCTCTGATTAAACACTGTGACAACAAATAATCGGCAAATCAACCAATGATTGTTTGATGACATAGACCCAGGAGACTAAGTTTTTTATCAATTGTCAGATGTGTATCAAATGTCAGCTGCGTATCAAATGTCAGCTGTTTATCAAATAGCAAGTGTATATCAAAGGCGAACGGTGTATCAAATGACAGCTGTCCATCAAATATCAACCGTGTATCAAATCTTAGCTATGTATTAAATGTCAGCTGTGTATCCAATTTCAGCTGTGTATCGAATGTCAACTGTATAGCTAATGTCAGCTGTGTATCAAAAGTCAGCCGTGTATCAAATGTCAACGGTGTATTAAAATGTCAGTTGTGTATATAATTTGTAAGCTGTGTATCAAATGTCAGGTATGTATGAAATATCAACTATTTATGAAATGCCAGATGTGTATCAAATGTCAGCTGTGAATCAAATGTCATCTTTGTATCAAATGTCTGCTTTTTGTCAAATGTCAGCTGTGTATCAAAATTCAACTGCGTGTCATTCAATGAAATTAAAATTTTAAACCTTTGAGTACGACTGAAACAATCGCAACTTACACACATCGACTGCAAGAAGTTAATGAATCTATAAAATGAATGTACATCTAAATGTTATCTGTAATTGTTCCTATGAAATTGCTAGTACAGACCTAAATACTGTTAAAACTTTCACAGTACATTGCATTTCTTAGAATACTCCAGGTATGTGTAACTTTTGTATCGAATTTATCTTCAAGAAGTTCTAAATAGTTATGGATAGCGGTAGTCCAGGTGATAAAGAGGAAATCTTCCGGCAAAGACTCATAGTAAGATCGTCCCCACTTTTGTGGAGATGGTGAAATGTTTAACAGGTTGAGGACCATCACAACAAATATTGAGGGAATCTGTCTGTTCATTAATGTGAGATGCCGTGATCTGATGGGTTCAGAGAGTTCACTTAAGGTTGAGAGCAATAATGAAAAGAATTTGAACTGTTAAATGGACATCCGTCTTGAAACTTCTACGAGATCTCCGTTGGGTTCCTGTGAGGGAGCGCATTTACTACAAAATTCTGTCCCTGGCGTACAGCTGCATAGATGGCTCAGCTCCGGAATATCTCAAAGAACTGATTACTGAGAGTTCCTAGTGTGGATGAACACAGAAAAAAGTCTTAAGTGCGCTCTTTTGAATCGATAGCGCCAAAATTATGGAACAGTTTGCTTCAATCTTTGAGGGGAAGTATAAATCTTTTTTAAAAAAATCATTTAAGAAACATTCAAAAACATTTTTGTTTCAATAGATTTCGGAGGACCAGAGCACAGTGAGCATGCTAAAGTGACATGGATACCAGCGCGATATAAATATTAAAATTAATCAATCAATCAATCAAAACCTGAGTTTGAGAGCTTAAAATTCTTCAGCCACGGGGCGGCTTAATAAAAGGCAAAGATTTTCGAGAAAAAATTATACTAAATAGTTTTTTTTCGAAATAAGTAAGACATACGGGCTCTTTCATCTGCAACAATCCAAAGTCACGCAAATGATGAACAAAAATTAGGATAAAAAAATAAAGAAAGGTACAATGAAAAGCAAAAGGTATCTTGTGACTTGAGTTTTAAATAAGGAAATCAAGAACAACAAGAAGCCTCTGAAAGTTGAAACAGTGGGTAAAAAGAATTTTGAATTCCACCTAATATAGTTTAATCCCACGTCTGATCACGTTAGCATTTAAAAAAAATAATAATAATACATGTCATCAAATGTATTTTATATTTTATCTAATAAGAATAAAACTATTTATATAACGAACATATTTGGCGAAAAGCTCCATTTGAGAATCGTTGGCCTACATTACACAACAGTAGGACACAGACTGCATCTTAGATAAAATGTTTGGTGTCTTCCACTGTTAAGCTCATAGCACTTCTAAAATGGGTCAAGTGACGGGACTAGCATTCCGCAACACTTGGAGAAGACATTTCTCTATCCTGGTGATTGGGATCTCTGCCTGTTTCAGTCTGGCAGTTGGTGGGTCCTCTGATTAATGGATTATAAATAAGAATATTTCGATCTCTCTTAAAGTTTTTATTTTTTTATTTTTTGTGTGTGGTGATGTTATGTTTTAAATTTAGTGTAATTATTATTGTACTAATGATATGTTATTTTCGTTGTAAATTAAGCAAACCCTTAAAAACAAAGGTTTTGGTATAAATTCTTTATAGGCATTTTTAAAATTATTTTATAGTCATATTCAAATGCCCCACCCAATTTTACACCGCAGATTTATTTCACAAACTATTTCAGAAATACAAAACAAAATCTTATGCAACAAACGTACTTGCGATATTTTTACGTTAAATAATCTAATTTAGGGTCATTATGGGAAATTTCTTTTCATGAAATCGATGTCGTAATATTTCCTCCACCCTCCTCCCTTTTGAAAAAAAATGAAAAATTAATTTTTGATGGTTGGTGGTGGTTTTGGGGGGGGGGGGACTGGGGCTGAAAATGTGAAAGAATGTGTTGTCATTTGCAACGAATCTATGCGCTAAAATTAAGCGCGATAGGTCAACGGAAAGTGGGTCACTCAGTCGTCCTAAGATTTTGCCCTAGACACACAACATGTTAAAATAAACTATTTTAAATTATTGTCCCTTTCAAACGCTCAAGGGCAGGAATGAAGACTTATATCATGTGTTTTGTTAAAGTTAAAGTCGATGAATTCAATTATTTTACAATATTATTTTTTTATTAGCCTTACAAGTGTAGATATATTATTGATATTTTGTTAAAAATCATGATTAAAGGAAAACTCATTAAAGCTTGATTTTTGTTTATCGATTGCCTAGCTGTTTGGTAAATGCTGTTATGGGAGCTTCAAATCCATCTCCAGGACAAACAAAATATTTTAACAACTTACTTGTAAATCTCCTTCAGCTCAGACCATTGTATTTACAGGACAAACAACAACAGCAGCTCTGGTTCAGACAGACATATTAAGTTATGATTGCAGACGAGTCGGGGCATATTGTCAGAACAACAAAACCTGCATTGAGACCACTGGAAGGTGTGATTGTGACAGAGATCAAAATTATATCTGTGAAAACCTCCCCACACGTAAGAAAGCCCTGTAAACAAGTTTGTTTTTTTTTAAAAATTGCTCTTAAATAGCTTAAGTCAGCAAATTAATCTTTTTTAATCCAATCTATTAATTATTGTATGGGGTACGTCCACGAAGGAAAAAAATTGGGGAGAATTTCGCAAATGGATTGGTTCATTTCCGCTTTCATATCAATTGTGGTTGGCATGGTTTCGATAAGTAAACATGATTGAATGATGATACCGTGAATTGAGAGAAAATAATTGATTCAGCTGAAGTTTGCATTCTATTTTAGAAGCAATATGGATTGAGTCTGTTTTAATAAACCCTACTCAACTCACTGGAATAGAGTTTAAAAACAACAAAAATGATGTTTAGAACCAATAGAAATGGAGAAAAAAAAAGGCGGCAACCACGGACAAGTTACTCTGTGTTACAAATAGTATGACGTGTGCATTAGGTCTAAATGGAACAAAAGTAAAATGCAAAAGAAAGAAGCTTATTATTATTTCGTAAATTGAAGTTTCTGTCATTGACATGAAAATGTGTGGTCTACAGCAGCAGCTTTAAATCCTTTTGAATATAATAGATGTTCCTTTAATTAATTAAAGCCAGTCTCTTCGCTAGGGTTAGTGCTCGCCGGGGGAGGCCAAGATTTTCGTCACCCACTTCCACAAAAAATCTCGGCAGTTAGCCGAAAATGCCGCCCTCAATATCAATTTTTTTTAAAAAGTGCTTCCCGGAGCTGACCGCCCCTTAGCACCCCCCCCCTCTCAAGTCACTGATTAAAATATTTTAATATACAAATAAAACCATCTTAACCGTTTTCATCCCAGTGCAATTAGCTGAAGCAGATTACAATGAATCTGTGCATGGAGCATGTACGAATTCAAGCGGCCACATTGAGTGCGTTTGTGATGAAGGGTATTACGGCAAGACTTGTGACGTTCCAAGGGGTAAGATTGCCAAACACATGAACTAAACATGAACTAAACATGAACTAAACATGAACTAAACATGAACTAAACATGAACTAAACATGAACTAAACATGAACTAAACATGAACTAAACATGAACTAAACATGAACTAAACATGAACTAAATGCATTGCAATGCTTTCATACGTTACAAAAAAAATTAATAATTAAATTGTGTTAGGTATTTTTTTGATCAGGAAAATAAGCTGAGATGTCTATGAACGTGAGTTATGTGTGTATGATTTGGTCGAGACATGTAATAAGCCAATTCCTTTATAAGCCATACGTTTTTCACCATTGTTTTAAATGTGTGTTCCTTTTTAATTTCTAAAATTAATTTTATATTTTGATTTTTTTTTTTGAAAGATTTGTTTTGAATTAAATTGTTGATCCATTTAATAACAAATATTTCAAATTATTGCTTGAACTCTATATATGTCTACAAATTTTCAAATATATATCTGATCCATATTGAATTTGTAATTTGTAGTCGATGTTGAATGCAACGAGAGCAATATGACGGTCTACATCAACCCTTATGGAATATTCGAAGGGGAAATCTTTGTCATAAACGGTGCCCTGAAAGTCAAGGACGCTTGTAAATTTGAACACGTATCAGACGTAAGTGTCAGGCTTGCTTTCTGCTTGAAGTCAAGTCTTATTTTAGTTTGAGGTTTGGATCAAAATCTTTTCTATCAACGCTCGCCGTATGTATGGCAATTAAATCTTATCATTCGAAAAGAACCATCCCAGATCGTATGTCAGAACGTCTGTCTGTTACACCCTTTTCTATAACAGTGAACATATTGCATTATTGGGGAGGAAGGATGGATGTGCATACAAAGAATAAATTAAAATGAGCTACAATATATCGTTATGATTTCTTGACCTACAGTTTTATATAAACTTGAAACTAATTTTTCAATTTCAACGAGATATATGAAAATAGTTTTAAATTATTACATAATTTGCTTGCATTTTTGCATTGTTGTCAATTTAATATTTACCATACAAGATACACATATCGTTCACATTTATATTTATTGATACATTTTGTTATTTTTGAAAATTTATTAATAATGATCGTTGCGTCATGTCAGTAGAATTGGTAGACAGTATGCTGATGTATTAACGTTTGCTGGATCGTAGCTTTTTTTCGCCACAAGGCTTCTCCTAGTCGAAGCTGGCTGAGATTGACTTACGCCTCACTCTAATACAATGAGTTACCATTTGTCTTATGAATGTGTAGACCTGACACATTTAAAGCAGATCAACATTAATGCATCCTCCTGTTTGTTTAATTAATAATACGTCATATCAATTCATATACTCATTCAAACACCATCTGCATTGCTGTTTTTTTTTAAGTTACAGATTTAAAATTTCATTCCCAAACTAGATTTTGTGGGGAATTATGAAAAAGGCGATAACATTTAATAATTTACTAAAAATGTTAAGAAGTTAATCACGTAGATTTAAGATTTTTTTTTTCAAGAAGAATTTGATGTAATTATATTTATATGTAGAAGGGTTGATGCGTCACATTAGTTTGGGATCCACTTATTTATAGTTTTACATAAACCTTAATCCTTTAAACTTCCCTGTGCAGATTGCAGGCGCTGGTGAAGATAAAGAGGGCATGGCATTGGTAATTCAACACATCTCCAAAGACTGTGGTAATACAACGTTAAATCAAGAATATGGGGTAAAGTATATTACCGCATATAAGCAACAAGAATATTTTCACAATCCACAATTGTAAAAAAGTCAGTTTTAATATAGATTCCCTCGCATCTGATTACCAAAATTAAAACCTATGAATTTGTCCGAGTATTTAATCATTATTTTTTTTAAAATAAATACATTTAAAAAAACTACAACAAACACACTGAACTATTACAACCATTAACTGGCTAATGTTATTTATTCGATTTATATCAATCTACCTTCAAAGTCAACTCAATACAATTGCAATTTCTTCTTTCAGCGACCTGATAGTGTATTTTAAAAATATGGACAATCTAATTGTTATCTGATTCATTCCAAAAGAACTGACTGTAGATAGCATAATGAGACAATTTTTTCTTAGTATATAATTTATGCTAATCTAATACTGGAAGGTGTTACATGTAGTAGCCTCCCTGTGAACATTAGAAGAGAATTAGCTTTCAACATTCTTGTTGTTACGTCTCAAAGTTTTTTTACTGCGTTTCATTACGTCTCACCCCGTCCCTGACCCCCCAAAAATTTCACCAATTCCATTCTCCTTAATTTCTCCACCTACAATATTATTTAAAACACACAAAAAAAAAGAAAAAAAAAAAAAAAAAAATACTCAGCTATACTCAGCTATACTCAGCTATACTCAGCTATACTCAGCTATACTCAGCTATACTCAGCTATACTCAGCTATACTCAGCTATACTCAGCTATACTCAGCTATACTCAGCTATACTCAGCTATACTCAGCATATCTGCCCCCAGAGCATCACCCTTTACAGACCATCAATCTCCTTCAGCTGATCCATGTCCTGTTCCCAAGCTCTCATTCTCACCCTTGTCCTAATTTACCACCAATATTTTTAATTGCAGTGTATAGAATGTCTCGATTGCACACAATCGCGCAAATAAACTGAAATCAATGGGTAGCGCAATGTTAGCTCAATGTGTATATTGCTGTGTAGACTTGACTGCACGCGAATTTTAGAGTTCAAAATGTTTTTTAACATCCAACTAACTTTCGGTTCATCATTTTTTTTCTCCATAAAATCAATTCCTTGCTACCATATGCTCTCATTTAAACCAGAACTCTCTTATTCACAAGTGCAGTACCGGTTCCCCAAAACTTTCTTAAAAGATTATAAGTGAACTCTTTTTTTTTTTTTTTCTTTTTTTTGAAGGAGTATTTTATAATACAATTTAGGGCTAGAGCAAGGCTTCATTTTACATTTTAATCATTTTACTTTTTTAAAATACATTTCTTTTTTTTCACTTTTCGTGTTTTTTTTTTGTGCAGCTTTTTTTTTTTTTTTTTTACATCCAACTAACTTTCGGTTCATCATTTTTTTTCTCCATTAAATCAATTCCTTGCTACCATATGTTCTCATTTAAACCATAACTCTCTTATTCACAAGTGCAGTACCGGTTCCCCAAAACTTTCTTAAAAGATTATAAGTGAACTCTTTTTTTTTTTTTCTTTTTTTTGAAGGAGTATTTTATAATACAATCTAGGGCTAGAGCAAGGCTTCATTTGACATTTTAATCATTTGACTTTTGTAACATACATTTCTTTTCATTACATTTTCGTGTTTCTTTTTTGAGCAGCTCTTTTTTTTTTTTTTTCAAGAATTTTAACTTTAAAATTCTGAATGTTAGTCTTAGTTATATTTTTTACACATATTGCAAAGACTTATCAATGAAAATATATTTATAAAGTAAAAATTTTTTCCAAAGTATTTTTTTTTCTTTTATGAGAATAACATCGTTACGGATGCCGGTGTTATGTAACTATTTAATGGCCTAAAACTTTTTAAAACATTTTATTATTTAAACAAAAAATAATCTACACTTGACATGCGCAGAATTTGAATTATACGAGAGACTTCTTTCTGGAGTATGTAAAAGAAGTCAGGGAAGCGACGGACCAACTGATAAGGGTCACCTGTGTGTTCACGCCGAGCAATAGAACTGTTTTAAAGGGAACTGTTACAATCACCGACACACAAAGGTAAAAAACACGAATGGTTTTTGGTACGCATTTTATTTGTAAGATATTTCATTCACATTATGGGAATTTAAAAAAAAAACACCAAAAAATCAACAACAACAGCTAACATACCAACTTAATAGTTGCGGCAGAAAACTGTTAGAACCAAAGAAAGAAAAACCACATTGTAATAATGTGAAAGTGAGGATATACATTTTGTAGTTATAGATACATTTTGAAGTTTTAAAAAAATGAATAAACCTCTTGTTTCATAATTTATGATTAATATCATTGATTCGCTTTTAAATTAAAAAAAAAAATATTTAAATTTCCCTTTCATTATCTAGTGAGATCAGTCACATTGACGTCCACAAGGATACTTCGGTCAAAGTGACATTTACCGTGACAGAAAAGGGCAGCACAAACACTGACGCCATACGTTTAGGACAAGACATTGATCTCAAGTTCTCCATGGAAACAACACAAAATAGTGGTAAATCCATTACATAATGGAAAAAAATGATTTTCATAACATTTAAATACGCCATGTTTCTTTCAATCTCAAATCTAATCTGATTCTCTCTCTCTCTCTCTCTCTCTTTCTCTCTCCCCCCCCTCTCTCTCTCTCTTTCTCTCTCCTACTTGCAACAATCCGTTCAACACTGTTTTTGTCTTAATCTCTTTCTTACGCCCTCTCTCGCCTTTCTTTATGAAAGGATCTAATTTGGCAAGAAAAAAAATGTTTAAAAACATTTTCCAGCACAAAGATTAGAAAAGGACGCTCGCGTCTCTTACATCTGCATATATGTGTCATACTTACTGATGATTTCACTGTCTTATGGCGTAAAAAAATACAAAGATAATATTAATTGGTAGAAATTTTAGAATTATGTGAAAAAAGACAATAATACATTTAAGATTTTAAAATCAATCGCATTACTTATCCAATAATAAAATAAAGAGATTTCCTTATTTATTTATTTATTTATCTGTCTGAAGTTATAACACCATCGGTGTGAATGGGTTAACATTAAAATCTTGCTTAACACGTAATATTTATTTAGCATTGAAAGAAGGATCAGCTGAATGGGGTGTCTAAGTGTTATCGCCTTCGTACTCATGATTCCACAGCTTACAATGATTTCATCATTACCAGCTGCGAGGTCACCAAGGAAGGCGACGAAACCATATCAATAGACATATTGGAAAACGAGTGAGTATACAAGGATTGGATGATAATTTTTCTGATAGAATTTAAGCACGACCTTCATGCTAAAACCTCCAAAGGTGCACTAGCCAAGAGGTGCACTACCAATAGGTGCACTAGCCAATAGGTGCTCTAACCAATAGATACACTAACCAATAGGTGTACTTGCCAATATGTACACTAGCCATTAGGTACACTTGCCAATTGGTACACTAGCCACTAGGTACACTAGCCAATAGGTACACTAGCCACTAGGTACACTAGCCAAAAGGTATACTAGCCAATATGTACACTAGCCAATATGTACACTATCCATTAGGTACACTAGCCAATAGGTACACTAGCCAATAGGTACACTAGCCAATTGGTACAATAGCCAATATGAACACTATGCATTAGGTAGACTAGCCAATAGGTACACTAGACACTAGGTACACTAGCCACTAGGTACACTAGTCAATAGGTACACTAACCAATAGATACACTAAACAATAGGTGTGCTTGCCAATATGTACACTAGCCATTAGGTACGTTAGCCAATAGGTACGCTAGCCAATAGGTACACTAGCCAATAGGTACACTAGCCAATAGGTATTCTAGCCTATATGTACAATAGCCAATAGATACACTACCCAATAGGTCCACTAGCTAATCAGAGGCGTAACGAGGGTGTTTGGCGCCCGGTGACAAGATTTGCGCCCGGGGATAAATTCCATTTTAAATCACCCCCTTTCTTTTTTTCAACCCTCAAACCCATTATTTTTACCAATAATATAATATCAAAGCACATTTTGGCGCCCCTAACTAGTTTGCGCCCGGGGACATATGTCCCCCACCCTGCCCCCCATCGCTACGCCTCTGTAGCTAATAGATGCAGTCGTTACGAATCAGGTTTAAAATAGTTGTTAAACAGCACACCCACAAATTTATATTTTCACAGAACACGTTGTAAGTGTTATAATGTGACTGTGTATTTTTCTGTTTTAAAGAAATGAAACTTAATTTATATTTTAAATTTTTGCATAAATCCTTTATAAAATGTAATATCCAGCGATTGGTCGGGGGGGGGGGGGCGGAAAATTGATAAAACATGCACTTCATAAAAATCCAAATTATAACTTTATTCGGCCCCTTCCCCCCCCCCCCCCCCCACACCCGCCCCCTCCCCCCCCCCCCCCCAAAACCAGGCTCGCAACCGCACATATAGTAATATTCTAATGAACCCACCCACCTTTAGACCAGAGTATAATTTCGCCAAATTTTTAGAAAAAAAAGTATTATACTCCAAACGCGTTTCGATATTTTGTACATTGGTATGCGCAGTTATCGGGAATTTTACTTCATGCCCCCTTTGAAACACAGAGTTTCGAGGGTAGGTACTGAGGGCTGAACATTTGACAGAACGTTTTTAGTCACCGGCAACCCGTCTAAGTGCCAAGTTATATCTCGATAGCTTGACGGAAAGTGGGCCAATTAGCAGTCCGAATATTGTTGCCACCCAACCAACCAGCCGGCTGTGAACAAAAGCAAAGTTAATATAAAGGGTTTTTAAAAAAATGTACTTTGTCCAAACAGATGCCCGACAACAACAGTCCATTCGCTGATCACCAAAAATCTCACCACCGCGGGTCCCGTGAGACCGGGCACGGTGACTGAAAGTATGTCCATGAAGGCCTTCGTGTTCCTGGGCGAGTCCAACAGCACACTCGTCTTTGTATGCATCGTTGAGTTCTGTGAGAAATCGTGCATTCACCCGGTGAGTGTTACATTAGCCCACTCCGTGCACCTGACATGCTAATGGATGTGTGAACACGCAAGTCAACAGTAACGAGAAATGTCAAGTTTACATTGCAGTTAAATAACAAGTTTACTCTGACTTTCGATGTAACTGTTCTTTTCATTTTGTTGTTGTGTTCTTTTTTTAATCAGAATAATCTTGTAATTTAATAGTTTTTATTTTTTTTTATTTTTTAATCGGAGTAATCTTGTAATTTAATAGTTTTTATTTTTTTCATTTTTTAATCAGAGTAATCTTGTAATATAGCGATTTTTAACATTTTTTTTTTCTCTAAAGCAATCTTGATTAAATAAATGTTATTTGTCGGTATTAAATATGTGTCGAAACTTGGATTTTAATACTATGTTTGGAATTTTGATTTGAGATATTAAAAATGATCTGACACCATTTTTGGAGGTGGGTCAGGGAGGGGGGAATACACGAAGGGTACAACAGATAATCAACGTAGTTGGGAGCCGTGTGTATCCATTTCAGACATAATATAGACAAACCAGGAAGTAAATATTATTTTTAACGATTAAACTTAACACAATATTTTGGAGCCAGTTTGATCAGAACGACGAACGTTAAACGACTTTTACCGGGAATTCATATATTTTTGTGTAACCAATTTTCTTTAAATGTATTGAACAATGCGCTAAAAGCTTGACTTCGTAAAATAAGTGTTTGTTAAATACTTTGATTTCAGCCCAAGCCTTGCAATACTTCAAATTTTAGGGGTAAGCCAACGTCATCAAGTTAATGAATGGCAGCGCCAAAAGTTAATATATTGATTACAATTTGCTATTCAAATAATCCATTTTTATTTAGCTAAACTAATGTTAAATTAACTGTAATTACGAAGATGTTTTGCTTATATATTTTTAAAATGCCCAAAATAACATAAATTTTTGTTATATATTTAAAATGATATAATATATATGTTACTATTTTATGTTTAAAGCTACACACTCAAAGAAGAGAAGGGCTACGGATAATGAACAAAGAGTTTCAGCCAAGATTACTGTGGTAGATCCAGCATCTCAAATAAAAGGTGATTAATCTTTATTATTTTAATATATCAGTCTTCCTGTTCATTAATTAAAAACATTTTTTTTTAAAAGGGATTCCTCCCTTGAAACTATGAATCTTCGTCAATTTAAATTACAAACAAAGCCCATCTTATTTTTACTATTTGTGTAATACCTTTCGACGTTTAAAATCTACCACAAAAAGTTCAGTGTGACTACCTCCTGGCCCCCAACGAGGTTCCAGGAAAGTTCGGTAAGAATCCTTCTATCTGTGAAGCTGTAATTTAAAATAGTCACATGCAGAGAATGATGCTGAAATATATTTTTGGTCTTTTTTGAAATGGTTTTATAACTACCGGGTAGCTTAATGGACAGCAAAGCGGGTTTCACGTGAATTAACGGATGAATTGGCCAAACTTTGTTGGCACACCTTTGACACTTATTCGGTCAGACAACCAAATCTTGGCCGCTGCACAATTTCACTTCAGCGGTCGACGAATCAAACCAAAGTGTGCAAAACCTACCTAGCAATTTATATGTGTTTTATTTTATCTTATTTAGTTAACGTTATAATTACATTTTATTATTTTATTATTTTTGTAATGTTTTTATTATTTTATTTATTTATATTTTATTTATTTATTTATGGGGGGGGGGGGGGGCTGTTAAAATCTTTTTAGTTCATTTTTTTTTTTTTTTTTTTTTTTTTTTTTTTTTTTTTTTTTTTTTTTTTTTTTTTTTTTTTTTTTTTTTGTTTTTGGTGTGGGGGGGGGGGGGGGCTGTTAAAATCTTTTTAGTTCAATTTTTTTACGGTTAATACTAAGTTTGAATTATATTTATTTTTATAATTTAAAGTTTGCTCAGATATTCTACTTTTAAACGGTTGATGATATAAATTTTAGTCTGTGAACCAAACCTTGCAATACATGTATTGACATAACCATACTTAGAACGGAATGTTTCGTTTTTTTTAAAAAAAAAGCTTAATCTTTTTTTTTTGTGTTTGACATCGTTTTAGCCACATCTGATCTGAGTACTCAAGACTGCCTCCAACAGCCGAGTTTTATTGCCATCATGTCGACTCTCGGCGTCTTAGTGCTGCTCCTACTGACTCTCTGCATCGTCCTCATTCTACGCCTTCTGGAAGCAAGACCAAAACAGTCACCGCCTGACAGCGACGCTCGCAGGGAGCCCGTGTATGAGTTGAAGATTCCAAGGATTTCCTTGACGTCAGCTAATCCCAATCACCATTTAAATTAATACCATTCATTATTATTAACAGAAATTTCCATTAAATTCTAGAAGACAACAGCTGAAAATTTCTTCCGATGGGAGCCATGCGTTTACGCGTTTGTTTGTACTAGCTGCAAGACGTCTTGGTCAAATGAAACAAATTAAATTAAATCAAACGAATTAAAAGAGGTATAACCAGGGTTTCATCCAGGCATAACTCCGGCTGAGAGAGTGGAGAGGAGGCGCTGCCTTAGCTAAGCCTCTTTCCGCTGGCACTGCACCACTCAACCCCCCCCCCCCNCCCCCCCCCCCCAAACCGAGGATATAGTCTGAAAGAATCACTGACTATAAATTATCTCGTTTTAAGAGTTGCATTCATTCATGTTTTGTAATAACTTCCTTGTTAAAAATTCATTTATCTTAGATTCAACAACATTTTTTTCGACGTCATGTGAATAAACCCTCCTTAATGGTGCCATGCATTTTTCCTTCTTGCATTGGAACATAGGAGAACTTTGGGTTTAGTAAAAATTTGATTGAGTTGAACTTCGGACAATGACCATTTTCACAACCACGTGGTTCAACGGGGCTCGCGTACCCACTTGCCACGCGTTTGCTCCACGTGACAAATCTCGACCAGGCCATGCTTGAGTTACATTCCTTAAGTGCTGTTCTTTTTTCTTTCAAGCCATCTTTAACGTCCGTGTTTTGTTTTGTTTCGCTGAAAAAAAATCCTGCCTGCATGTTATTCGATATACAAATAAATTATTGATTTATAAAAGTATTGTATTCTCTTTCGTTGTTCGCCGCCGTGTTTTTATAAGATTATGTCAAGTTTATTGTAAACCAGAAAACCTCCCATTTACGTATCATTTCTTTAGAAAAGGCAACGAAATTGAACCTAATAAGAAATAAAATAATGAAATGAAAAGAAAAAATGTCAGCAAGTGACTGTTTTTTTTTTCGTTTTTTTAAAAAATATTTCTATGTCAAATTATCAACAGACAGTGAATGTTAAAATGTGTTTTCTAATGACACATAAAGTTACTATTTTTGTAATATCATCACAACTCTCAGTTGTAATACTGATATTCTAGCCTCAACACTTCCATAGCCTCGTCTCATATTGCTTTCGATAGATGCGTCTTTTTTTTTATCGAAGTGGCTATAGGTACCCGAGTACCAATAGCCGCAAATGGCTATTCGGATCCGGCTGGTCACGTGAATCACGTGAAGTTGGTTATGACGGATACTTCCTGTTGGTTGCCATCTTTGTCACCATTATTATCAATCGAGAAATGTACCATTACCATATTTTCAAGACTTTGAAGAAATACGAAGAAAAATGGGACGTACAGCTGAAAGAAAGTAAGAATACGTTTATGTTTATAATTTTATGGTATTTTTAAGTTCTATTTTAAGTATAGTTCTATAATCATTAGCAGGACATCAATCAAGATCAAAGTTGCTGTACATCTCTTTTTTTTGGCGGCAAATCGGCCACAGTACTTTCTTATCTGTAATTGTAATTTGATATTAGTCTAACTTATTGAATTTCTAACAAACCATACTGGGTAAAAGTGGAGTTCAGGTGCGTATATTATTTCTTAACGCTTTCATATTTTATCATGTAAACTTAGGTGTATTCTTTATTAATTAAAAACAGGCAGTTGTAGGTACTTTGATTAGAATTAGAAAATTAAAACTTTTTGTAAAAATAAACCAATGGCATAGTTGAATAAAGCTAATTTTTTTAAAGAATGATAAAACCAAAATCATATTTTTAGCTGTTGTAGTTTTAAAGTTATGAATTTTTAAAGTACGATTTAATTTGTCCTTTTTTTAACATGGACCACATGAACCAAGTAGGCTAAGTAGGTGAAGTTGAAAGTGATGACCCCAAATGAATATTTCCTAAGCTAAGTTTTGGGCTATTTAAAAGGGGGCAGAATCACTAATCCAAAATGGCCTGTGCGACCTTTGCATAATGAGGTCAACGTTGAGAATTGTGAAAAGGCCGGCACTACGTACACTGCGGCGGTGTACCTAGCGAAACTATTGACTTTGGCATGCGTACACCGCGGCGGTGTACCTAGCTAAATCATGGTCTGTGGCCTGCGTACACCGCAGCGATTTACAGTAGCCAAACTATGGTCTTTGCGAGTCTTTAACTTTTTGGCCTAACCGGTACTTGTAGATTTAATTTTATACTCGTGTTAAAACTGAAAACTATTAAAAATTCGTTTATTACCTTGGGAAGATATTGAGTAAGGTCCACGCGTATGTGGCAAAGTGCATGTAAAGCATTTCTTATTATTTTTGGAAGGGAAGGGGCTGGGGGGGGGGTAATGTTAAACCATGATTTATTTTTAAAGTTAACCACTTTATTCCCCCCTCCCCCAATATCTTGAAATACAAATATATTTATTAATTGTAAGTTTTATCATATGATTGTGAATCTTAATTTGAAATTATTCTCTCATGCCCACCCCCCCCCCCAATCCAGTTGTTTGGTTTTTTTTTGGGGTGGGGGGGGCATTATAAATATAACATTGTATGCGATCCCTCGGGGCGTGGTGTAAAAATGAATGGGAAGACAGTGTATCTATTTTGTTAGCACCATGATATAATTACGCCACAAATACACTACGGGAAGAGAATCACATACTCATACATTGATCATGAAGTCGTGAAGTTAAAGTAGTCCGAGGCATTGTCATTGTGACACCAAGCATGTGTCAACACAAAACAGCAGTAAGATGATCAATACGAAACACTGCAGTGATTTGAAAGTCTTTTAACAATAATTAAAAATCATTGATTTAGTTTTACATTGGCATTACACATTAGTAAAAAAAAATGCAGGCAGAGGGAGGGGGGATGCAAAAGGTAAGTTGGATGTGCGGACGTCCTTTGTGGACAACCTCTATCCTGAGCCGTGATTTGTGAATGCCCTCTTTTTGGTTAAGCCTCTGCCCATAACTCACCACCACCCCCCACTCCCCGGCAAGGATCGATTTCTTAAAAAAAAAACAACAACAACAAATACAAAAACTTTGACATAGTGCAAATCCTGTCCCAGGCGCATTGTGCAATGGTTTCTGTGAGAAAACGTCGTGTTTTACCCTGAGAATAGCACATGCCATGCCATTCTGGAAAAAAATTACGTCATGAAAAGGGTAAACGCAGACCTATGGCTTTGCTATACAGTTTGCTACCGCTCCGCAAGTTTCTAAACTCGAGGTGTTTTCAAAAGATTTGCTGTGAGACTGAGTGTTGTGAATGAACCTTTGATATCGTATGTACATTTTGCCAATGCATAAGGAATAGTGAAAGCAAGATGGTTCAAGGTTGAAATACGACCATGCACATTAATATTCATATGCATGAATATTATTCATACTGGTATTTTCTTTGGTTGTTCGTAAAAGTAAAATGTAAATATTCAACTATACGAAGAATGTTGAAATACAATAGAATATCAGTCACTTAGTATTCATAATGTTTCTGTTATACATGATCATCATGTATTACATGCGCTTTCAGAAACTTTAAGTTTGTTTTCAAATGTCTAAAGTCTTATTACTAAAGTTACCGGTATTTTCAAAGTCAAAGGCCGGCACAACTTGTTGAAACACTTATATATATAAATAAATATATAAAGTGCATTTAATATAATATTTAAACATATATTTACATTTACATTGTTTCAATTGCTACAAAATATTTTAAAACTAAAATAGGAGGAAAAAAACTCGATCCCCTACTGAGAATTGATCTCAAACTATATTACGCCAAGCGTCCACTCTACCACTTGACCACACAAGATCTTCTCCAACAAGTATATCTTAAAACCAGGCCAATGGTAAATTTTTGCCGCGGTGTACCCAGGCCAAAGCCCACGATTTCACTAGGTACACCGCCGCGGTTTACGCAGGCTAAAGCCGATGGTTTCGCTAGGTACACCGCCGCGGTGTACGCATCCACTTCGATTAAATTATTAAAGAATACACGTAAGTTTACATGATAAAAAATGTTAAAATACGAAATGCGCTAAGAAATAATATGCGCACCTGAACTGCACTTTTACCAGAATTTTATACTACTGGAACTTGAATAAAACTAATGTTAGGGCTAATAATAGTGCTAAGAAATATCACAGTATGCGTGAGTTGAGTATGAATGAAAAAAGTGGCTTACCAAAAAAGTAAACAAACCTTGGATGATATTATTATGATGATAATTTACAGAATTCTCGGTATCAGACACATCTGAAGTGCTATCTTCATCAAAAATATTCTTCTAAGTAAGAATAGTCGTCCATTTCAAGCTTATAATCAGAATCAGACTCCATAGCAATGTTTTAGAGTGTAGTAACAGTGAACGGGAATTGTGGCAAAATATGAGTAAATGGCGAAAAGGAAAATTTATGAATGGACAAGTTGCTACCAGATTTCTTCAAGAACTAGTAAAATAAACGATTTTTTTTTCTTGCCAAATAGTAATTTAACATTCCAAAATAGTAAATCTTTATTTTCGCCTTTTAATATTATTTGTATATATATTTTAGGGGTCGTTCTTTTCACCCGCCATATATGACCGATTTTTCAATCTCCCGTCTTTTGAGAGTTAATGCCACCCAGGGTGGACCAAGCTTTTTTCTTTTTTTTTTTCTTTTTGCGGAAGGTCGAAAATGGCGCCCTTAAACATGAGGTCAAAATGTGCCGCCTGGGGGTTACAGTCTGTACGCACCCCCCTAGCGGCGCCACTGCATTGCGCAAATCTTTATTTAACCAAACCAGTGTTTTTTATCGGTTGGACATATATTTGAATATGGATAAGTGGATACGATAATCCATCAATCATGCACATGGTCACCCGAGGGTTGCCTTATTGTTTTAAATATCAATGGCGGGTCTATTGTTAATGTGAGTGTACTATTGGTCCAGTGTTGATTTGACCGTACTACTGGTCCAATGTTGATGTGACTCGCATTGTAGAATGATTTCTAATTACAAATTATACAACAGAAGGCAATTTTTATTAAATTGTCGTAGTTTCAAATCTGCCTACTTTAACAGGTTAAGGATATACCCTCATCGTACTGTCCCCAGACGGGATACAAATCTATGTGATCTTCTGGTTCACAACCGATTTCGAGGCGACCTATCTGACATTGAGTGTAAACCATTTCCACGATATCCACGTAGGCCTTGTCACTATATGTTTTTAAACTAATCACATTGGCTTCCGTAAAGGGATTTTTTATAATCACAGAGGGCGTGACATGTATTATTCAAGGTGCCCTCTGCGATTCTTGCCGAAAATTCCTCTCCTATTATGCAGGTAAGCCTGAAAGAAGAACGACTACCTGATAGGTTCAATGAACATCTTCACGATGTAGAAACAGGCGCTCTCCGTCTCATCCAATTTCAACGTAATGAACACACAGAGTGCTCAATGTCTGTCCAGTTCGATTAGCATTTGATTTTGTTTAAAAATTTCAATTTTCCATGAATAATACCGAAATTTGTCTACTTCCTGTAATCGTAATACGCATGTTTTGGTTTTGGACAAATGAACTTCCGTTTGCAACATAGAGATCTTCTGACACCTACGTTTTTGAATTCATTTCCAAGTCCATATTGTTTCTTTGTTTTGTATCGTCTGCTGAAGAAGACATCTATCTCTCTAGATTGTCCTTTCTTTTCATTTCAAGCTTTAACATGGCCTCTTCCACTACTTCCTTCTTCTTCTATATTTTATGGGCCCCCGATCAATGTATTGATCATTCTGACTCCTATTTATGAATAGGAGATTCGCAAAGTTTCTGTGCCTGGTATTTAAGAGGATATTTCACTGTTGTAAGGACTACTCAGTGAGGGTATCAGGAACTGGGCGTGGGGAAGCAGGAGGTAATAGACGCTAATGTGTCAAGTGTTGTCGCCTCAACTGTTTCTTTTGGAAACTTGTTCCAGTCCCTGAATGTCGTCCTTCACACAGCTACAACGCTTTCCTTTCAGAAATTGTGCTTAATTAAAGAAGACATAGTTTAAAACAATATGTTAAATGCCACCGATCCCTAAATCTCTTTAACATCATTATTATTATTTTTTCCCTCCAATCATTTCCCAAACTCCAGAGCTGTTCGGGAAAACCCATGTAAGACGACCTATTTCATTTGGATGGATGGTGGCTACGGACATGGAAATGACGTGTATCCAAAAGACGACGTGTGGATACCCAAAGGACTTTTTGAACACGGGGATAAAGTGACTTTCATTGACCGGACCCCAGGAGTCCGAGCCTTTGAGAAGGACAAGGCCAGGCTCCACAAGATGAGCATCAACATCTTGGCGGGGCTCTTCTTCGCCTGCGGTGGTGAGGCGTTCAAGGAGCTGTACGAGATGCAGCAGCAACAGGTGGATGAGTGGATGAGAGACGGCGTCGTGGATGACGACCAGACGATGTACATGTTGTTGTATTACAAGAAGCCATCTTTGTTTCACCTGGTGCACGGGGACTGGTACGACGTGTTCAAACTGTTCAATAAAATTGTTACTCAAGTATCACCATCATCGCAGTGATATTTCGAAGGAGGG